ATCCAAATTCTTAAATGGGGACTAAGTGCATCAAAGTGGGGTCTAACCAAAGAAAAAAAGGGAACCCCAAGTTGGTAAATCCTAAAATAATATACTGAGTTTATACAAATACATATATATATATATATTTGGACAAACATAACTCATGATATTAACATCCTTTAAATTGTATTTCTCTGTTCATTTTTTGGTATGGCTGTTTTGCTGTATAAATTTCAATGCATCAAATCCTTATGCATATAAATGCGTACTCCCTAACAGCTCTCCCTTCTTCGTAGACTAAACCCTTCACAAATCAGGTGACCTCCTTTTCCAATTTAATGCTTTTATTCCTTGAATTTAACTTCGTTATTGACAGGTGGCAATTGTTCTCCTCTAGTCTGCATTTTTCTTGAGTAGGTTTGCTCCATCTAAAATTCCCTTTTTATTGTCAATCGTTCCTAACTCACTTTGTTTATGCCTGCCTTTATAAAACAGGAGAAAGTTGTGGGGTTTTTTAACCTGATTTAAGATTTTTTTTCTTTTAATAGCTGGGGCCTTATTCTACTTGTAATTTTGCTCTGACATATTGTCACAATGAGTTCTGCAATCATATTTTATGTTTTATTTTTCACTAAATATTGTTTAGTTTGTTTTCTATCTTCTCCTTAACTTCCAATGTTTTCTTTAAATTTTTCCTCTCTGGTAATATTAATGTGGGTTTTTAATTCTACTAGTGGAACTTTTGATATATTTAAGTATTATTTAAATTACATTTCTCAATGCATCCATTTCAGAAATTAAATGATCTCTACTGATTCTCATGCATGAAAAAAGAAATAAGAACTTTGACAAGTATAAGAATTTTATAATTCCTCCCATCTCTGTCTTAATCCTTGGTATTTATTGATATAAACTAAAAATTTTGTCTCAGTCTATTTGGGTTGCATGATTATAATTCTGTCACTAAAGCACACACATTTTGTTTTGAACGTGAGTTATTTAAGAAAAGTTTTCTAACTATGAGTCAAAATCCAGAGGCAGTTTTTAAAAACATTGATAAATATCTATAATATGCTAACTTTCATGGACAAAGGAATGAATATAATAAAATATACGTGTATCTGCTCATCTGTGCCAAAAAATGTTTTATTTTATTTACTATGGTTGGTTTACATTTTAGAAGTAGGTCAACATGTGTTGCAAGCAATATGGCAGATTAGATAATTTGACACTCCTGAAAGAAACAATTTTAAAACTATTTAAAGGCTGGATAAAGTATATTTTACAAATCTTTTATAATGCATTGCTGGTCTGAGAAGAATGGGAGAATGCACAGAAATCTAAAAGGAAATAAATAAAGGAACCCTGAGAGGTCAGCAAATCTCAAGCTGGTTTTTTCTTGAGAGTATCAACCAGAGCCTAGATAGACCCACCTTCCTTCAGGAGAGCTGCACGGCTAATAGGAGACAGGAGACAAACCCTGGGACCTCTCTAGGTGGGAAGTCTAATAGGAGACCCCTGCATGGGGCCAGGACCAGCCAAGGGCTGTGCCCTCATCTTAGGGTGAAGAGTAAACTCATTTACAGCTGCAAGAGGATTACGAGGAAATCAGATTATCTTGAATTTACTGCTGGAGGGAAAATAAAAATCTCCTCTAAGAAATGATAACTGCCCATCACGTGGATCTGAGGTTTGAATCCATAACACTTTGTAGTCTGAAAAAATCTTAATTAGATAATTTAACTTAAATAATCCGGGATTGGTACTGCCTTAGGTGACTGGCAAAAACAAAGACATTTTCTATCTCTAGGAAAGGAACTTCAACACAAGCCTCAAGAATATCCACTTAAGGGGCCAGCATGGTGTAGTGCTTAAGCTCAACGTGCTCCGCTTCGGCGGCTGGGGTTGCCAGGTTTGCCTCCCAGGTGCAGACCGGACCTACACCACTCGTCAGCCATTGTGGCAGCGACCCACATATAAAGCAGAGGAAGAGTGGCACAGATGTTAGCTCAGAGTTAATCTTCCTCAGCAAAAAAAAAAGGAATAGCCACTTAAAAGGGCCCAAGGAAGAATATGATTCACAGTTAAAACAAACCAAAAAAAACATAAAACACATGAGCAAATAAGTCACCATCAACTGTAAATTCAGAAAGAATATAAAACAATATAAAAAAGTATAGTTAATATATTTCAAGAAATAAAAGACAAGCTTGAAAATATGTCCGGGGGGAAAAAACCATAATGAAGGACTGAGACCAATCGAAAAAACAACCAAAAAGTAACTATATTATAGTCAATATACAGAGAGATAATATTTATCAATTTGAATTCTCTATCCAGTAAAAATATCTTTCAAGAAAGTGGCAAAATAAAGACATATTCGGACACACAAAAACTGAGAGAGTTTCCCGTCAGCAGATTCTCACTAAGGGAAATTCTACGGGATAGAAGAAAAATGATTCCAAATGGAAGACCTGAGATGCAGGAAGAAATGAAGAGCAAAGAAAGTGGTAATTACGCAGACACATCTAAAGAAACATTTGAGTGAACTTAAGACTTGAGACAATGTGTCTTCTTCCTACCCACAGAAATCCCTGGGTTAGGGACTAGGAGCCCAGCTACCTATGTGGAACCCATAAAAGGAAAAATACAGTGAACAAAACACAGTAATTATCTCCTAAAATTATCCTCTCAGAGAGACAAGGTCTCTGCCTTCCTGAAGCTTATATTCTAGTGAGAAAGCCAGATAAACAAATAATCACACACATCACGGATAAGTATCTAATTATAGACTCAGCAAAACTCTATAAAGAAGAAGTATATGATATGAAGAAAGCATAACACCCTGTGATATGACTTACGAAAGTCAGAAAAGGCTACAGTTTTGCTATGTATCCTGCTGTTCCTAGGGATACACTGTTGAACAAGACAGTCTTTCCTGTGATGTAAGGAGTCAATGACCCTGGAAAGAACCATGTAGAGTAAATTAATTGACTTAGGAATTTAGAATAAGGCTGGAAGAAAGCCTGAGAGGATATGATATCATCCTCTCAATTAAGTTACAAAAGTGAATGAGTAAAAAGTGAAAGAATTAGAACTGATATACAGAGAATTACAGTTTAGATATTATGGATACAAAAGCTTTTTCTAAATCATATATTTGAGGAAGCTACTTCACTAAGGTCACCATATAAAGAAGTTTGCAAACAATGAATCGAAACATAGAGCCAAGTGATTAAGAACATGGGACTGGGAATCTAAATCCAAGCTCTGAGAGCCGAGCACTTTCTGAGGGTCTCACACCCTGCAGACCCAGGGTTTCTTGTTGCTGCCCCTTTCGACCTCTGCAAACGAGTTCTCCCCCTTCTCCTTCACACACAGCAGAAGAGGGGCATCCCATAGTGGCAGCCTCACTTCCAAGGTTCACATCACTTCTTTTCAGGGAAACAGCTAGAAATGCTGAGTCTAAGATCCAGGTTTCAGCAGAGAATCTGATTGGTCCCAGTAAAGGAAAGGGTCACATGATACATACATGACCACTGTGGCAACAACCCCTGTCGTTGTTTGGAGATCTCAGGGAAGGAGTAATGAGATGTGACTATCGCGATTACATTGAGCTAACATACATATCAATAAATTATAAAGATAATTGCAAATTATATAAAAATTTTCTAAAAGGAATTCTTAATTTTTTAATAAAAAATCCCAAAATTTTAGAAATAAATTTTTAGAATGAACAGGTAAAAGTGAGATCCACTTGTTATTTTAGTAGCTTAGCCATTTTAAAACACTATCAGTGTCTGAAATATTGTTAAGGTATTTAGAAGTAGTAGTAGTATCTGAATAATTCAATTTAATAAACACTCATCTGACTGTTTCTATGAAAGGCACTAGGAGAGATGCTGAGTGAATACAAAAATAAAGAAGAAAAAGTCCTTGCCCTAAAGAGCTTTCAATCTTGTAACATAAATTATTACAATACAAGGGAAAACAAAGGCTGTGGAAATGAAGAGGATCAGTTACGAGTTGAATAAATCAACCAATAAATATTTTTTGTGCAAGTATGTCCATGCTTTCCACTACTATATTATTCAAGAGTATTGTTAAAAACCTTGGAGTACTTGTGTCTCTATTCCTGTTAACGTTTTATATGATAGAAATAACACAGATTTTGAATACTCATGAATACAAGAATCACACTGCAAAAAGACATCCCAAATCTCAAATAACAACGCCTAAACACATAAGAAATACACAGTAAGTCTGCCAAATAAATTCGTAAGTGGGTTTTCTATATTTAAGCTATGAGTATAAGTACTATTGGTTCAAAATATTATTCTAAAATATGTTACGTATGTGTTTTTAATACCATAACAAAAATCAAAAGTCAGTAACTGAACGTCTCGAAACACTTTTGAAAGTGCCAATACATGCTGCATTTGACAATGGGCTGTGCTTTAGATTAAACCAGAAGCACAGAGCCCAGCCTGTTCCCTGGAAGACCGGAACAGACAGATCTGAGACGCTCAGACCATGAAACAGTCAGAGCCATGGCGACGGAGCTCAGCGAACCAGACTTAGTAATTTCATCACAGCATTTTTAGAGTCCTCTTAAAAAAAAAACATTAAAAATCACATTAAAAAATGCTAAACTTTTGTTCTCATTTTATCCTCCCGTAGATTGTGCTTAGAGATGGGCACAGACTGTCCAAGACGACACCCGGCCCACAGCCTGGAAAGAACTTCCTTATAAAACAGAGTCTAGAAATGCCATCATAAGAGAGGAGACCACACACCAACACCAAACAATAAGTACATTATAAACTTTTATGCCTAAATGTTGCCATGTTGGTAAAACTCTCAGCCTGTAGTAACCACAGATAGAAATAAAATACAAAATGAGTGTAAATAATTACGATATGTCTGTCAAATTGATTGCAATGTAACACTTTATCTTTTTAGAAAAGCTTATGACATGTTCTTATCTAGAGCACCAAAATCTAAATTTAGATACTTACGTTATTGCACTCTCCAAGGAAATACAGTGCAAATCCATCAGCTTTTGTGGCTGCCAAAGTAATAAAAAAGGAAGAAACTAATCTCAATGGAAGAATATAACATGTATGAATTCTCTATGGTGAGACCTCAGATATGAGCCTTTTGAATGGATTTGGTAACATAATTAATGGTCATGCAGTAAACTGAACAAAATAATTTATGGCTTTACTCAATTAAGTAGAATATTTTCATTTATTTTTCATCAGCTACTGCAAATCTTAAGATGTGACATCCTCAAATGCACACAGCAGTCAAGGTACTATGTAATAATATATTTGTCAAACTTTAAATAGCAGAATTATGGGAAAATATTTTTGAAATTTAAGTGTATTTAATTTTTTTTTTCCCCCAAAGCCCCAGTAGATAGTTGTATGTCATAGCTGCACATCCTTCTAGTTGCTGTATGTGGGACGCGGCCTCAGCATGGCCGGAGAAGCGGTGCGTTGGTGCGCGCCCGGGATCTGAACCCAGGCTGCCAGCAGCAGAGCGCGCGCACTTAACCGCTAAGCCACAGGGCCGGCCCAAAGTGTATTTAATTTTTAATTTTTAAAGTGTTAAAAAATACCAGAAGTGATGTTCATAATATTGAATAACCAACCTAAGCATCAACAAGGATGATGTATGCATCTACATGTCATCATGGAATAGAACATAATTTAACTTTTTCCTTCCAGGTCTTCTGAAGGCCATGATCACAGCAGTTAACAGATAAGTCTTGGAGGGATCGCCTGAATGTAAACCCCTGCTTAAGTCGTTCTACCTGGGTGGCCCTGGGTAAGATATTTGGCCTTTCTTTGCCACATCTTCCTCATTGGTAAAATGGTGATAATGGCATATAAAGTTGTCAACTCTCCAAATAAATTTAAAATGCTTTTTCTTCCTTAAAAATTAATGATTTATTTTATAAAGATGTGATTTAATTCAATAAAACTATACTTTCCAAAGAACACTAGGTTTTAATTAGTAAGCATAGTATATTCCATTTATACATCAGGCAGATACTTTCTTGGGATCAGATAACTTAGCAAGTTTTAGGTTTGACTCATCTGGTCATTTCATAATAAAATATTTTCACATCAAACTTAGCCTGAGAATAGAAGTAAATAAATGACTTGCCTTTGCCTCTTACTAAGTGAATTATTTTTGCCACTTTTTGCAATGGAATAAGAGAACCTTTGGTTCATTTTTTTCTGCTAAGAGGAATACAGAACATTCCTTACCTATTTTAATGATGCTACTCAATTCATAGAGGAGTAGCTGGTTGTCTCCTCCCGTATCCAACCGTTGTTCTATATAGCTGTTTAGTTCATACACAACTCCCTGCATATTCGTATCTTGGTACTTTGAAAAAAAAAATAAAAAGAAAGGGCATAATTAAATATAATAAAATAAAAATTCCGTAGTTCGTAAGACACACTAATTAATATATATGACGTTATATACTAGTTGTTCATTATGCTTTTATAGAGCAAGATTTAAATATTATAATCTACCATAAAAATAGAATGAAAATTTAAATTGCTATGACTTACTAAGAATTATCTATAGACTCTATGTATGTTTATTTATATTAAAATATCTAATGTTACCAATTGCGACTGTTTCTGATTTTTGTATATAATGTATCAGGCATCTTGATAAGTAAAAACAGTACAAAAGTTTGAGAACTGAATGAAATATTGTAAGAGGCTAGAGAAGTCACCTGCATGCAGTGCACTGGGTGAGATAACGTTTGTTATTACTCTCCACTCATTTGCATCGACGTGGCTACCACCCCAGTCAGATCTTAACTCTGCCACTAGCACAGGAGCAAGAGGCTCGCACTGTAGCCGCCCCTGCAGGAGCAGCCGTCCCACAGCAAGTCCACAGCGCTAGGCTTCATCGAGGTACCAGCGACAACAGCAGGTGGACACGGGTCTGGGAAGAAGGTGGAAGCTAAATCTTAGCTACTCCCAGCACAAGCTACCACTGTGTCTTCTCTAAAAGTCCTGAAAAAAAGCCTTCTAACAAGCTTCCCTGCTCCCGAGCTTGCCTCTTCTCCAAATGACAGCCAGGGTAAACTTTATAAATAAAATAAAACTCTGTCACTCTCTGGCTTAAAATACTCCTGGGGCTTCCCACTGCACTTAGAATAGCAGACAGACTCCTCACAGGGTAGCCTCCCACACTCGACAACATGAGGGTGACCGTCTGCCTCGGAAACTGCTTCAAACCACCTTTCTTTCTCTTGACCACTCAGACATCTTTCACTCCTAAAGCCTATTACTTGCTGTTATTCTTGAGCAACTGTACTCAAGGAATACAGTGGAAGGAATAAATCAATGAAACAATGGATGAGCCAACTGATCATTCCACAAATATGTACCAGCAATCCTGACAATCTAAATCTACTACATGTAGGCGCTCTTCTAGACACAAGAGACACTAGAGAATGAACAACATAAAATTCCAGTCCTCAAGGAACTTACATTCCAGTGGAAGAGAATATATAGGTAAAGTACATAGTGTGATGGAAGGCAACAGGTGCTATATGCAGAAAGGGAGGCAGGGAAGGCTGACAGCGAATACCTTAGGAGGGAGAGGGTTCCCTTTGTAAATTGGATGGTCAGTGAAGGAAGACTTCAGTGACATGGGACATAGGGGCAGACTCCAATGGAGCCTGATACCTTTAACGCCTGAAATCTGACTAGCCTCCTCTAGTTGCTTCACAGGGGACTGCTGATCACTTACCACCTCTCTTAGCTTCTGACCTATAAACGGACTCGAGTCCAGGCAGGGCCCAGAAAATGAAGGACAAAGGATGACTTGTCCAGAGTGCAATATACACTCCCCCAAAATGATGAGATTTAGTCAACGTATAGAAACCTGGGAAACAAATGAGAATGGATCTCAAGGATGCTGAAGTAGTGTAGAAGAAAGATAATATTGGATCAGGGCAAATATTTGATATGGGTGCATTAAGGAGAGATACTGGGTTCAGTGTGCAAGTGCTGGGTTGGCTGAAATCTGTTCCCAAAAGTGGCCAACGCTAAATGCAGTTGAAATGCCAGAACTTCCCTGCTGTATATTCCAAACTTAGCAAGACTGGAATGCCAGAGTGGATTTATTCTGTAAGACCTGTTTACCCACTCCCTAGCTATGTCGTACAGACACTCCCTTCACCAAGGTCATGAGAAATATGTTCCCAAGGGTGAAGTGGCCTGTGTGAAGAGCTCTGTGGTGTGGGCCAGGAATGACTGTGGGAACCGCTGCTATCCAACAGGGTTTCCTGAATTCACTGAAAAGATGGTATTCTGGCATGGCAGGGCCCAAGTGGCAACACACAATATCCGGAGACAAGACGGGAGTTGTTAGCATAAGGGACACAACTGAAGCTGCAACCAGAATGACCTGGCCAGCAGAGACTACCTCAAACTAAAAGTTTCTGTAGAGCACAGGAAACTATCAACAAAATGAAAAGGCAACCCACAGAATGGGAGAAAATATTTACAAACCACATATCCGATAAAGGGTTAATATGCAAAATATATAAAGAACTACAACTTACTAGCAAAAAATGCAATAACCTGACTAAAAAATGGGCAAATGTGGGGCCAGCCCTATGGCCTAGTGGTTAAGTTCAGGGCGCTCCACTTTAGTGGCCTGGGTTCAGTTTCTGGGTGTGGACCTACACCACTCATCAGTGGCCATGCTGTGGTGGCAACCCACATACAAAATAGGGGAAGACTGGCACAGATGTTAGCTCAGGGTGAATCTTCTTCAGCAACAACAATAACAACAAAAAAATGGGCAAAGGTTCTGAACAGACACTTTTCCAAAGAAGACATACAGATGGCCAACAGGTATATGAAAATGTGCTCGACATCACCAATCATCAGGGAAATGCAAATCAAAACCACAATGAGATATCACTTCACACCTGTTAGAACGGCTAGTATCAAAAAGACAAGAGATGAGTGTTAGTGAGGATGTGGGAAAACTGGGAACCCTGAGCACTGCTGGTGAGAGTGTAAATTGGTACAGCCTTTATGATACACAGCATGGAGATTTCTCCACAAAGTAAAGATAGAACTAGCATATGATCCAGCAATCCCATTTATGGGTAGATATCTGAAGGAAATGAAATCACTATCTCGAAGAGATATCTGCAATCCCATGTTCACTGCAGGTTTATTTACAATAGCCAAGACGTGGACACAACTTAAGTGTCCGTCGACAGACGGAAGGATAAAGAAAATGTGATACACACACACGAGAATATTATTCAACTCTAAAAAAGGAGGAAATCTTGCTATTTGTGGCAACAGGGATGGACCTGGAGGGCATTATGCTAAGTAAAAGAAGCTAGACAGAGAAAGACAAACACTGTATGGTCTCACTTATATGTGGAATCTAAAAAAGTCAAACTCATAGAAGTAGAAAGTAGATTGGTGGTTGCCAGAGGCTGTGGAGCAGGGGGAATGGGCAGATATCGGTCAAAGGTTACAAACTTTCAGTTATAAGATGAAAAAGTTCTGGGGATCTAATGTACGGGATGGTGCCTATAATTAAAAATACTACACTGCATACTTGAAATTTGCAGATAGTAGATCTTCAGCATTGTCACCACATACACACAAAAAAGTAACTGTGAAGTGATGGATGTGTTAATTAACTTAATTAACTTAATCATTTCACAATGTACACACAAATCATCAAATTTACACCTTAAATACATACAATTATTAGTCAAAAAATATAGAAACATATTTTTAAATGTAATTCTTAAATATCTCAGCAATAATAATAATAATGAAAGACATGGAACATTTCATCCTTTGATACAAAGTCCCTCCCATGGTTCTTCTTAATCAATCCTTGTCCCCAAGAAACCACTGTTTTTGACTTTTTTCCCCGATAGATTAGTTTTGCCTGTTTTAAGAATTTTATGTAAGTGGAATCATACAACATGTACTGTTTTGAACCTGGCTTTATTTGCTCAACGTAATATCATTGACATTCATCTATGTTCCTGTATGTTTCAGCAGTTCCTTTCTATTGCTAGTAGCATTTGTTGTACGAAAATACTACAAATTATTTATATTATTCTACTATTGTTGGACATTTGGGATGTTTATCTTTCCAGCTTCAGGCTATTAAGAATAAAGCTGCTATGAACATTCTCATATGTGGCATGTCATTATCTGAACCCAAGATGTCTTGTGGCAATATTTTGTATAACTAAAATATATAGAAATGTATTCGATAAAAAAGTCTACTCTTTGTCTATGCAATTATTCTCCCCAAATATAACCCGGTTTATATTTGAAGGAGTGGGATGTAATAGCAACATCAGTTATGACACTATGGTACAAAATCTTTATATTCAGGGACACTGGAGGTGAAGGGAGAGTGTTCTAGCAAATAGGTGAACAGAGTTAAGATGCTGACGTAAGCAAGGTATCACGAGTACAATTCTAACCCTTTTGTCAACAGAAGAGGATGTAAGGAAAACACGTGGACTGGTTGAAACCACCTCTTTTGGGCATCATTTTTCCCACCTCCCTCAAAAACAACAACAAAGCCTAAAATCTTTTCAGGGTTGTAAAGGTTAAATTGAGGTTAGGCATTCCCTATAAACCAAAGTTGGTCTGGGTTACAAAAAAAAAAAGGAATACTGATGAGAAAATTGGAGTCTTCTTCCTACTGTCCTTGACTTATAAAATGCATGGTGCTACAGAGATCTGAGATCACAGCTTTGCTGATATCAACACCCCGATATCTAATGACTCTGCCCAAGTTCACTTGTGACAATTCCCTTTTTACCCTCAAGCATCAGTTTTTAGCCTTGTCTGCTGCTCTTACCAACTGCAAAATTTCCAGGCTGACCCTCCACCCCTTGATACACCTTTAAGCACCCAGACGTGGGGACTTGCTAACTGTGAGCTCTGTAAATGTGAAGTTAATAGTAAGGGTACCCAGTAAAACTCTGAGATTTACAGAAACCTTAAGAGTCTGTCAGGTTGCTGTGGATAGAGCGAATTCTGCCCAATCTCTAGCAAGGGCCCTGATCATTTTAGAGGTTCCTTTCTTCAGAAGATCAAAAATAAAGGAAGAGATCTGTATACATGATCCTATTAACAGTACTTCAGTTTATATCTTATGATAAAGGTTGATCTCTTACAGAAGGTTGCATCAGATGCAATTCAAACTGATTATTTTCAATATTTAATCCACATTTAAGATCTTTATCTGTATGCAAGATATACAATTAAGATATTTTTCATATGTAATTATAATTTCGTAGTATTAAACAGTAGGATAAATGCTTTCATTGCTCGTCCCCCATAAGCTTTTAAGTTTGCCAAGTCTCTTAAAGTTAACACCAAGTATTTTCTTGGACATGAAAACAGTGAATTTAATATTTCTAAAATTACTGAGGAATGCCGAGTCTTCAATACACGAGTAGTCACCTTCTGTTCTCCCAAAAAGAAGGTGCATAAACTCAAAGGCAGGGGTCAGCCAGGTAACACACAGGAGTAAAGCTACTAAGTGTAGGACCTGATGAAGGCAGCTTCTGCGACTTGGCCTGGGCACACTGCTGCCACCGGGGAACGCTGTGTCGATGCTGCCTTATCTGATAGTTTTTCGAGAGAAGCCAGAAATCCAATCTTAATATGTGTCTCTAAACTTGTAGATGTTGGTAACTCATTCAGAAAACCCCATAAGCACATGCAGGCCAAACACAATGCATCTGTTAGTTGTGCTCAGCCTCAAGCCCTCCAATTTGCAACCTCTCCCTACTGACTTTATTCCATATCAGTGAGGGATACCTTGGAGAAGACACTCAGTTTTTGTCATCATTTTTCTAATACTTGAACATATTATAGCACTGAGAAAATGTACAAAAGGATTTATTTCCTATATTGTGGTAGTAGAAATTATATTCACATTACTTACCCTGCTGACTTCCTTAGGAGCCGATTCATCTGGGGGATAGAGAAGGAAGGAGGAAAAAACACAATTAGAAACTCTGAGCAGGTTCTGAGATGTAGAACATTCATTCACTCTCAATAAACTAAAAGGCTCTTTTGCAATGCTTCCTCTTACGAAATCTAAGAATTTGGTTTTAAAAATCTGTATAGGTTATACATAAATTTAGAGTTAGACATACATATTAATTTTGGAGGGGAAATGAAATACCACAACAACTCGGTAGTCATTTTCAAGATGACCTTCTTAGATGTTCTAAAAGGGTAGTGCCTTGAATTATGTTTACTCAAATACACGCACTTAGAAAAGGGTTTGTAACATTTGCAACATTCTAAATGACACAACCCACAGGAATATCTCAAATGACCATTACCACTTGTGCTGCGAGGGTTAATTTCAGCATTTCTTATTGGCTGAAATAAGACATGTACCTGCGTGGCACCATGGTCAAGGCACGAAACACATCTATTAGCAGTGCTGCTTTGTACGGTGGGTCCCAGGAGCTGGGAGGCAGTTTGGACTGGCTTGTCAGCACTGTTCACTGGGAAAGTGAGGCTAATGGAATGCACCTGGTCTAGGGGAGACCCTCTGATGGGATCTCCCCTCGGGGCCAGCTACGTGGCAAGAGTATGCCTGTGTGACCGACGGGCTCAAGGAACAAAGTGGCCAAGACGCCACTTTAGGTCCACTGGTTCTGAGTGCCCCACGCCCAGGTCACTGGTTCTGACCCAGACGAAGGGCATTTATGTGGCCCTTATGGAGGAAGGGCGGCGGGAGCCGGCCTCTCCAGACCCCTCACCGGAGGCAGCCTTTAATTGAACGCTGTTGCTGTCTTGTGTCTCGGTTAGCAAACCCTGTCTAATACCACCATTAGTGCACACTTGACACGCCCCAAATCTAATGCATTCTGTGTTCCTCCACAGCACATCCTAATTTATCTTGACGCTGACAAAAACATGTCCCATAGGTTCAGACAGGGCTGTGGGTCTCCTTTCTCCTTCAATATCCTTATTAACTACACCACTGAGTCCTGTTGTTTCCTCTTTTTTCTAATATTTCTCTGATTTGCTGCTTACCACCCATTTCCACAGATAACACCAAGTCTAGTCCCAAATCATTTACCAATCAGCAGCCTCCAAGCTGCTCCGTGAATCCATTATCCGCCCATCATGCCTACACACACACACACACACACTCACCCACCCAGTGTGTCCTTCAAAAACAGTCCATCTATCACGCCCCTCAGATGCATCAGAACCTAAAGAAAACTAGATTTCAACACTGGTTGCACACTGAGTTGACCTGGGAACCTTTTAAAACTTAGCAAGCTTGGGACTATCAGATGGTGGGTATTCAAGAAACAGTACTTAGTTTTTGGATTATTGTATTAATACATACTTGCTTATATATTTTCCTGTAATTGTTCCATAATGGTTTGAGTATTGCATTTGATTTCCCTAAGAATGCAAGCATGTTACAGGAAAAACACGGATTTTTATCTTCTACACTGAAGTCATATTGCAGAAATACATCATCTGCTGTTCAATTCCTGACCCCTCACCCTCTCCTGAACCTCTCTGAAGATGGGACTCTGATATAATCATTACAACACATTTACGAACAGATTCTGAAGTTACAGAAGCTTATATGTTTTTAATTTTTTTTAAGTTCTTATCTAAGAAATTCAATAAGCATGCCTGCAAATCGAAGTGGATTAAAAGGCACATGATGAAAAGCGGCAGTTGTAGGAACAGGTTTTCTACTAGGAGTGCATGGAGTTACTGAGCTGTTTCACTATGGAATCTTCCACTCTCCACCAATCATGACTAAGATCTGAAAGTTAGTTCAAGGGAAGAACAGTTTGAATTTCCAGACATCTGTAAAGAAGTGTTACTTTAGTTTTGCTTTGGTGCTTCTCAAATGTGCATAAGATGCTCTACAGTACATATTTATAAAAACCAACTATTTTTTGCTTTATGAGCAATGTAACGTGTTTGAAAGAAAAATTTACTTGGAGCTGATTTCTAGATTTTTCACCATGTGTACTGATTTAGAAATGTATCCTCTATCTCTTCCTCCAATGTAAAAGTCAAACAATTTTTGTTAAATGAATGTCAAGACTATTATATTTAGGCAACATGGTATTTTAGCTGAGGAAATTAATGAACACAGTGAAATTTGCTAGGAGAAGGGAACCCGACTTCCTATTTCCTATATTTGGAACTTTCATTTATTTGAACTCTCCTGCCCAAGGGAAATTTAAGCATGTTGAAGACAGTTCATTTAATTCCCCTTCTGCAGTGGAGTGGCACTATAGGAGGGCATTACGAGAGGCAAAATGCACTATGGTTTAAAGCCCAGACCTGCAGTCACTTGCTGTATTACTTCCGGCAAAGTGTCTGACTTCTTTTGCCATCTTACAAGTCTAAAGAACTAAAGAACTAAAACAAGAACTAAACAAGAACTAAAGAACTAAAACAACATTCTGACAATACAATTTGATTCTGAAAAATAATTTTTCCCATGAAGGCATCGTCAAAGTAACAGAGGAAATATCATCCCGTCCCCCCGGCAGTTCTGGACTCGTTGCAGGAATTCCAGGTTAAGAACCATGACTTAGAACACCTCCTTCTAAGGACCACGGCTCTGGAATGTGTCTGTACACTCCCAACACGCACTCATGACTGAACTGTCGGAACGGTGATTCATGTGGCTCAGCAAGGAAGCTCCCTTTAAAAGGAAAGGGGAAGCGATCGTGGAAAAGAAGGAAATTGCCATGGATACCAGATTTTGAATCATTCATGAGCATCAAATTAGCAACAAAAATGTTCACAACAGCAGAACCCCCAATATGTTGTGCTCACTCTTGACTCAAAATCGTCATACCTCCAAACAACAAATATTTATTGAGCACTAAGTGCCTGACACTATTCTAGGTGGTTCCAATATATCAGAGGACAAAAAAAGACAATAATGCCTGCCCTCACGAAGCGCTATTCTAAAGACAGGAGATGGTCCATAAACATGATAAATAACTAAGTTATACAGCAGGTTGGAAGTGGGAAGTGCTTTAAGAGGGGAAACAAAGTGAAGCAGGTTGAGAAGGATCAGAAAGCAGTGGGGCAAGGGGACGGGGACAGGCTGCAGGATAAAGTGTGATTAGCGGAACCCTCCTGGAGAAGGTGAGCTACAAAAGCAGCTACCTAAGGGAAGTGCATTCCAGCAGAGGGATCAGCCTGAGCAAAAACCCTAAGACACAAGTGTGCCTGCTGTTTCGTGACAAAGTTAGTTCCTCCTTCTTTCCAAATATTGAAATCCAAGGCTCAGCTCACTTTGTATTTTGTCCACGAGGCCCTTTCAAAAGCAACAGGCCCACTATCTCTCTTTTCTCAGAATTCTTATACACTCCTTTCCTGTTAGGAAAGCAGAGTACTACAGAAAAAAACGAAGATAGGCTTGGAGTCTGACCAGATCTGTTTTCAAATCTCAGCTTCACTTACAAACCATACATGGGTTCCTCGACCTTTCCAAACTTGGTAATCTCATATTTGTAAAATGAGGTCACTTCAGACAGCGTTAGGATTAAGTGAGATAATGTACATAAAAGTTCTTGCACAGAGTAGCCTCTCAATAAATTTCAGTTTTGTTTCTCCCCGTTCAACTGAGCGTTAGTTATAGTCTACCTTCTGTTGATAACTAGATACATGCGAATGACTTCTCAACTGAATAGAAGTTCTTGGAGACAAGAGTCCACATCTAATATTTCACTTACATTACTGAAAAAAAAAAGGCAATCCAAAAAATCATTCTTAAATGATTAAAAACAGATGATGATGCTTTTGCACACAGAATATTTTTCTCTAGACAGCAACAGAGTGGTAAAACACTAGAAGATTATTACTTCTGCCAGTGGTTTAAAATCTCTTAGCCTAACTATTAAATATAGTTCCCAAATCACTTTGTTTTTGTTCTCTTTCTTACTTTAATTTTCTAACATTACAAGGCAGGCATTTATGGAAGAACATGAGCCATGTAATCAAGAATGGAAGTACCAAGTTAATTGGTTTCTGCGAACACACTCTCTACTTTGCAGAGTTACTGATGAGGAAACACGAAATAAATTATAAATCACTCATAAATGAAAGGTATAAGGAACTACATACTTGTGATATGCTTGGTCAGAAAAAAAAGGGGAGCGAGGATATGTATATGTTCATAAGCTATGTCATAAAACATGAAAAGCTATTATTTTTTCCCTGAAAGATTATAATGATTTTTCAATAACTTGTAGAATCACATTTTCTAGCACATACTACTGGAGTCTATTCCTTTGTACTTAATTCTATAAGAACAGAATGAGACCATTCCTAGTGAGAGTTAGTCCATCAAGTTTTCCAATTCTATAAATGAAAATCGATAGCTTAAAAAGGCATAGTGTGAACTGCAGGTGTTCTTTGATACATATAAAATGTAATAATTTACAAAGTATCTTCCTTTTATTTTGCAGACACAAGAATTATAAACATACGTGATAGATAAATACTGTATATATAAGACAATATGGTTTCTCTCTTGTAGTTAACAGAAAATATTACATGTCAGTGACTTTCAATTATCAAGGCCATAGAAGGAAGGTTCGAGAAAGACATCATAACACAATCACTTAATAGGTTGTCCTTCTCTTCTATACGTTACATTATAGAATTTAGTAATCTCTAAATGACCTAGCACTGGGTTGATTCTGTGACTGTAAACTCTGCACGTCCTAATCATTTTCTGGATTGGCATCACACTCATGAGCAAACGTAACTAACTTGAAAGTTCACCTTCAGAAGCCGGAGCAACATCTATCCCAGACAGGCTAATACATAGATTCATTTTGTTAACCTAGTCTTGATTTCTCAACTGATAGTATATGAGCTGTTGAAATACACAAATAACGCTGTCATTCTGACAGAAGACAGTGAAGTAATTAGATGTAAACTCTGTCAA